TACTGAAATAGATCTGGCAAGAACACAGTGGACAAGATTGACACAAAAAATATACTCTTCTCAGGAATTACGAGCAATGCGAACCACAGGACTACCCCCATCACATGCGTTCCATCGACTCACTGCCTATATCGATGCACACGGAATCATAAGAGTCGATGGAAGACTAATGAATGCGTTAATATCAGAGAATAAAATACACCCAGCCATCCTTCCGAGGCTATCACAATTTGCAAACCTTATCATCGAACAAGCACATTTCAAAACACTGCACGGAGGCACCCAAATCACACTATCATACACCCGACAACATTATTGGATTATAGGAGAGCGATCAGCTGTAAGATCACACATTCTACGATGCGTTACTTGTGCAAAACAAAGAGGAATTCGCGCCAGTCAATTAATGGGACAACTACCCCTACCGAGAGTAACGCCTTCGCGACCATTCACCCACACTGGAGTCAATTATGCTGGTCCCATTACTATAAGGACATGGAATGGTCGAGGAGCCAAAACCTACAAGGCCTGGATTTGTGTGTTTGCGTGCCTCGCTACGTCAGCAGTGCACATTGATGTAGTGGGTGATTACTCAGATAAAGGATTCATTGCAGCATACCGAATATTTTCAAGTTGCAGAGGCATCATGTATTCATGGTGAGGTCATGTATTCCGACTATGGAACAACGTTCATCGGAGCTGACAAGGAATTAAGAAAACTATTCATTCAATGCACTAAGGAACACTACCACATTACAGCCACACTCATGGCAGACCAAGCACAATGGGAATTTAATTCATCTACAGCTCCCCATATGGGAGGAAATGGGAAGCTCCAGTAAAATCCTTTCAAGTTCCATATCAATCGATCAACAAGAGACACATCATTTACCATTGAAGAAATCACAACGCTACTCATCCAGATAGAGGCCATCCTGAATTCACGCCCATGACAACCATTAACTGACAACCCTGACCATTGCAGACCCCTTGCTCCAGGCCACTTCCTCATAGGAGGACCCCTCAATACCCTACCAGATCCATCAGCGAGTGACTCAAAAATATCAATACACTCAAAGTGGCAAGTCATACAACAACGAGTCCAACAGGTCTGGAGGCGATGGACAAAACACTACTTACAACAATATCTCTCGACCTCCAAGTGGCATCATCCAAGCAATACTATCAAGATCGGATCACTAGTCCTCATCACAGACCAAAGACAATCACCATGCAAGTGGCCTCTCGCCAGAGTCTTAGAGCTGCACCCTGGAAAGGATGGACTGACCAGAGTGGCAACACTGAAAACCGCCTCTTCGATAATCAGACGACCAATTCATATCCTTGCAGTTTTTCCAGTTCCCACCGAAAACACGAATCGTAATCATCAATGAATTGATGATGGCAGGCGGAATGTTACGGATTACAGCAGTTTTAAGCAGAATAAAAGTGGGAGAGGTATGAGCGCGTGAAACATTTGTTTTGTAAACATTGGCCAACGGACTCGAAAAATGCTTCTAACCGAAAAACTGGAGTATACGACTATAATTCCGAAAATTAATAACAAATGAACCCTACAAGGCTATGCCCTATTGACGTCACGACAAATATCGGCATAGCAACAGCCACCGATAAGCTAATGCGCCGATAGCGCATCGAGTTGTACGAGAATATTTAAGGAGCTGCACTTGACGCTCTCGTCCTCTTACTAGTTCAATCAAGCACCCATCACGACAGGATCGCCACTCTACTCATCGGCTCACGCTCGCATGCAAGCAACGCACCACGCTCGTACTTACATCTTACCTCTACTCCTCTGTTTACACCCGCACGTAAGATACGCCACTACGCTCGTTCTTACGGCTTACTAACTCATCGGCTTCTGTCAACTACGTAGGCAGCAAGACACCACGAACGTCCAACAATATCACTACTACACTTGATCTCACATACGCAAGCAGTGACATCACACGGACGTCTTCCCACCACTTCGTTTACTACAGCGCTCACCCCACGCCAGCGGCTAAGGCGGCACCAACTCGCTGCCGCTACCAGCACGAGTCTCCCACTACACTACTCAACTCATTGGAGAAGGGGAATCACGCTCCTAACTATCAAGAATACACTTACAGACTTATCGCCGTTATATTAATTGAAGAAACACTCATTTATTCATTCTATCATACATTCATTAAGACATTTATAGATCATTGACTATTCATTATTTATTATATTTAAGGAAAGGAAAGACATTAAACATTAAAGGCGGTAATGAATAATTGCATTGCCCCTTTCACTTGCCAGCAAGCCTTCACCCACCATCATAAGGAGGTTTTTTTTAATCTGATCCCAGACAAGAATGAAAATTAAAAAAAAATAGAGAAGAAAAATTTAATTTCTCACTTTCGTTCATTTCTTGATTCTGCGTTATTCGTTTATTTTGTCAAAACGATAAAGAGAAATAGCTAATACATTTGACTCATTTCAAAGACACGCATGGTTGAACAGTCGATAACTTATAAAATCTGGAGGCCTTCTGCCAATAATTGCTTCGACTGAGAATGCAATATTTCTCTTGTTATTTGACACTCTCTTGCTTCTAAGCACTGATCTTCATAGTTTGCCTAGTTTCACTTCCTAATGGCTTTCTCGCTTGGCGAGTTTGCTTTGATTCTGTTCAATTCACTCGTGAATGAAATTGCCTGTTCTGTTCTTTAACATTCAATATAATAATTATTAGTATTATCATTGATGTGTAGTAGTCAGTGTTTCACTTCAATGACGCTTTAATTACAATTAAAATAAAGTTTGAACACTTTCAATTTTCAATAAATTTAATTAAATTTAAAACCAGACTATGTGACAGAATTTAATTAATAAATATAATTTAAATAAGACTTTATTTAATTTCAGAAGATTTGGTAGTTACCTATACTACGTAGAAAATATTTTTAGAAAATATAATATAAATTATATGGTATAAAGACTAGATATTAAACATTATTTTAATTTTTCATTTAAATTTTTTTTCATTTAAATACCTAATATTTATATACCTTTCATAATATACAATACTTTTATATTGATAATTATTAATTGTATGATTTAATATTCTTAAGTTAGAATACAATGAAAATATTAAATATATTCTTTTATAGATTCTCTGTGATTTTATATAACAATCTTGCATATAAATATAAGTATCTAACTAAAAAAGTAACCTTAAAAATACTTTAGAGAAATGTATATATTATGCAATGTTTATACCGTTCCTGTTATGAATAAAAATTATTTCTTTAATCCTTGTAACTTATTTTAAGTCCGCATGAAGTCTTCGAATCAATTTAAAAGAAAAACATGACCTGTGTAGCGATTTAGGAGGTATAATGGCGTCCAGTTATCGCATATAATCGTATATATACTAAAAATTTTCTGAATTTCATTCACTGTAGCACAACGATATGTAAATGAGTCAGTCAAATTTCTTCATGGCTGTATGCGAACAAAAGCAACCTCGTGATGAAGTCACTTTAGTCCGTTTTCGAAATTATAACAAACTAACTTGACTTGAAGTTAGTCCTCTGCATGATCCGACCTGCCGAGAGCACTGAACCATAAGTTATTTGCATCAGTGTTTATCGAAGGAACTAACATTACTACTCCGTCCTTCCCGCTGCCTCTCTCATTCTCTTTCTCACTCCAGCTCTTCTATTGCATATTATATACTTTTATGAAAGCAATATTTCTCATCTCGTGTTTTTCCAATATTAAAACATTTAAATACAAGATTAAATATTGATATAAGAATAATTAAAAATATATAGAAAAACATATTTCGAGCATACGTGATTATAAATCTCTTCGATATTCGGTTCTATAGCTGTAAACACTATATTGTTTTATAATTTCTAATCAAAATTATTTCTTTAAATACTTCAATTACTAGATACATTACATTCGTATATAAATTAGTAATAATAAAAGTCATTCGAAGAATTCAAAATATATATGAAAATAAAAGAGCACCTACTGTGAAACCAAAGTAAGCCAACAATATACATATTAAATATAAAATAGCATAGCATTTTAGTCTTATCAGCATCATTACATTCACATGTTTACTTTTAAAATTCTTTATTTCTAACGTTTCTGTTCTAGTGACTTGAAAGCTCACATGATCATGTATAATCTTTTTTAACATTTTAAGTTGTATTTGTTTATAAAACAGTACCAGGCTTATGACTATAATGAGGAAGTCTAATTTTAAAATCGGTGTGATAGTTATAAGTTAATCTTATTATACTGTTGAGACTAATTTAATGAAATTATAATAAAGTTCATCCACGAGTAAAATGAAAGAGCAGTTTACATTGTAGTGTCACTCTAGTAATTAAGTAATGATAACGTAAAGAAAATTATTTTTAAAGAATAGATAAAAAATAAATAACTTGATGATATTTTTTTTATAATAACCATTTAAATAAATAGTTATACGAGAATAGTTATACGATAGTTATATTTGATTAAAACATTACTTATATATAGAGGCCAAAACTTCAATGACCAAATATTAGTAGAGTATATCGTTTAAAACACTTTTTTTAATTTTATGTCAATAATTTATGTCATAAATAAAGTTAAATTTAAAAAGTTACATGATGATAGAAGAAATATATATATATATATACATATATACAAAAATGTTTTTTTAATAAAGATATGGATCTCTTTAATAATATATAAGATATATTTTTCTTTACCAATTAATTTTCGTATTTCTTTTTTTAAAATTTCGAAATATATAATAATTTATTTAAAATTTGTATTTCAGCTTTATAAATGCCATGCATTGATTTAATTTTTCAAATGATAGTAGCAAATTGTTTAAAGCAGTCTTCAAAACTAAGATAGTATATATTTGGCAAAAATGGAGGGGTTGAGAAACAAAATATCGCAAGATTTTGAATAAAAAGAAATAAACTTTATATCTAAATACTCACCCGTGTCATTGTCACCAGGTACCCCAAGACTGTCACTATTGTCATTGATAAAGGCTTCAGCAGTGGATGTAAACGTTTGAGGCGATAACGTGAGATCCGGCCCACTCTCGCTATCGAACAGCTCCAAATTTCCGTTTCCTATAAAACCAATACAACAGTTTCATATGTATAAAAAATTTTAGTTTTATCTCCTACTTCTCAGTCCGAATATCGAAAATCGACGGAAAATATCGGCAGAGATCAAGGATGACAGTTAGTATAGAGAAATGCGTTTTCGAAGCAACTCGAAGGAAATCCGTCGACGATGATAAGTTCAAGGAATATAACTATATTTTTTCTCTTACGATTGGGTTGGTAACGCTATAGCTCATTAAGGAAATCACCATTTTCCGATATTGACTCCCATTTCTGAGCTATATATATATATATATATATATATATATAACTATTGGTAAATTGAGAGTATTTCCCGATCTTGAACGATCTTCTGCTTATATAAATCAACTTGTACCAATATCGAAATATTGAAAGGTAAGGAAATGTTGAAATATAACCGAATTCTTATTAGTGGATACTAGAGAGTAAATATTTTATGACTTTGTGAAATTCCGGTGACATCAATTCAGCAAATTTTCAGATTTGTGAAATTGTGTTACTGAAATGTATATGTATACGCCTGAAATTGATGAACGATTCAAATCAGTTGTAAAAACGAGATTGTTTATTTTTAATATATAGAAATTTATTAAGATAAAATGAATTTTTTAAATAAAAAAAATTTTGTTATAACTACAAGTAAAATATGATAAAAATTATTCTTATCTATATTACTTACTTAATGTTCCTTATATTTAATTGTAAATAAGATTTTTCATCAATTACACATAAAGAATGAAATTAAACAAATTACTACGAATACGCGATCTGAAAATGTCAAATATAAATATCGATTCTCATATTACAATATGTTATTAAAAATTATTATTTTAATAAATAATTAAATTCCATAATTTTTACTTATATATATTTTACATTTAATGTTATTATATAGTAATAAATTTAATATTTTATTATCAATGCATTGATATTTTTTAATATCTTAACAACATGAGTTAGCAACCTTGTAAATAGTACCTAATAATCTTATTCGTTTCAAGCGTACTACAAAAGTTTATGAATCATTAGTGTAGTAAAAAAATGAAGTTTTCATATTGAGTATCTATTTGTCAAATACCTGCTGTAATCAATTATTTTTCGCGTTTAACAGTGTTCTCGCAATATATAATAAAAAGTGAAAAAATATAGGAAAGTTGAACAACGGTGGTATGATTTAAAAAATATTTTTAAAGGTATAGTATTGCTATCGATATCTTCGTTTGTCCAAATAATGTAAGAGAAATGGAGCGTATAAGAAAAAGAAGAGTAAAGGAAAGAGAAAAACAAAATCAGATACGAAGACGAAGCCACACTCTTTGAATATGATGCGAGCAAACCCTCGTTAGAGTATTTCAATGGTCTTTTGTGCTGCATTGGTGGAAATCAGAGTGAAAGTTTCTCCCATCCCAATTGAACAGCGTACAGACAACGAGTCACACGAAAGTCGAACGTAAAATCGCTTTTGTCAAGCGAAGAAAGAGACATCCTCAACCTACGGTCTCTTTTTCTCTGTATGCGCGACTTCTCTTTCTCTATGTCTCTTTTATTCTTTTACTATTTCTGTATTTATTGTTTTTTATAGTTATTCAATATTGTCTTTGTTAGCAAAATATCACGTATAGTGATATTATGATAATATAGTCACATTAATAACTGTAATATAAATTATATTATACGATTTTTTAATAATATTAAAAAAAATTACAATCTAATAAAATTTCTATGAATAGTTTCTCATAATATATTGATAATCTTATTATTGACTTATATTGAACATATTCGGACAAAAATAGCATTATAATAGTATGTTTAATTTAAAAAAAAATTTAATTATAAATTCTCATTTTTACTAACAATACGTCTATGCAAGTGACAATTTCTTTATTAAATGTAAGAATCCAAAATTTTGAAAAAATATCGTAAAATCTAATGTTAATTCATATTTTTGTAAGACGTAATAATAATATGCTGAATGAAATTAATATATTCAAATTTAATCTAAAAACCTAAACATTGCAAAATTATATGTTTATATAAAATAATCTACATAATCATATTTATTTTTAAATTATAATAAGAAATTAGAATTTATAATAAAAGTATAAATAATATTTTCTCATATTTATTGATTTATAAAAATTTTGAAAAGCATAAAGGATTAATTAAAAACGTTTTACAAAGTTTATCATGATGTTACATATCCGCATATATATATATATATATATATATATTATTCATTTGCGTGATATATCAAGCAATAATTCAAAATAAAAATTATTAAATAAAATAATTGAATATAATTATATTCTATTCTTCCATTTTTACATGAATTCTATAATTACAAAATTCTATTTTCAAGCAGTTTCGAATTATTATTTTTGATTTATCGATAATTTTTACACATTACTCTGTATATATACTAATATAAAACATGGTATTTTATTGATAATTTTAATAAATAATACTAACAGGTTTCTATATATAAGATTCTGATATTAAAATTGTAAATAAAAGAGTTTTATTTTAATATATATTAAATTTTACATATATTTCTTATATTAACTTTTTTTTATGCAAATTCATAATTAATTATATACTATAACTTCTATAAGATTAAATAGTTTACTATACAAACTAATATACTAAAGATAATATATTTTTTGTTAATAAGAAATAAAATATCAATAAATGATAGAAATGATAAATGTTATATTAAAATTATATTAAACTTTCAAAAAAATAATATAAAAGTAAATGAATTATTTAAAAAGCTATATAAAATTTTCACTTAATAAAGTAATTACTATAAGATTTTCTTAATTAAACATTTTTTTATCATTACAAATTTTTTTGAGTCTGAAATAGTTCTAGAAAATGATAAATCAATTCGCCATACATTAATATTTTTATTAACTACCTACATTTAAATTATAATAATTTATATTTGTCTTACGTGATCAACATAAAATAAATACAAAAAATACAAAAAAATAAATAAATAACAATATAATAGTAATGTAACATAGCGTTTTTTTTAATTAACTGTTTATCACAGAGTTAAATGAAAGAAACAATTTTACGACAAGAAATTAAGAGCGAGTTTTTAATATATTCATAAAAGCAGAACTTCACTCAACTGAAATTTTAGTAGTACTATTAAAGTTTTCTCTTATATGTAGGAAAGCTAGTCCTAAATTAAGGTAATTTCCTTCAATAAAATGAGAGAACCTAGTATAATACTAATAATTTTACTACACGAAAACTTTATCCTCACAAACATATACAAAACTCGATAGTAAAAGAAGATATTTTCATAATTTAAAATTAGCATTAAATCAATATTAAAAAATTTTATTTAAAATTAACTTAATCACATACAATGAAGCAATAATATTATAAATACTATAGATTAATTTATGCTGTCTTTTATAATTTTATCAATGTACATTATTTAATTATTTTTATGATTCGTACTACCATTTTTAAAATATTTAACAAAAAATTTTGATATTTTATTTTCTTCCTTGTATAGATGATTTTTTTACACCATATTAATAGATAAAATGTTAAAGAGATAAATTCATATTAAGTACTTAAATAGTCGAACTATTTTAAAACCAAATATTAGTGAATAAAGAAATTTCTTTATTCTTCTATAACAAATTAAAGCAAATATCTTACATATATGAATAGTGTGATCATAAAACATTAATCGTATTCTCACCATTATGTTTTTATAATTTTACCCCATATATTTAATCTTACTTGTTTCTGTTTAACTATTATTCCCTATAAGATTGTATTTATGCTTATAATTTTTACATATTTATATTCAATTAGTACCAATTAAATGTAATTTTAGGTGTTACATGTACGTATTGCGGAATTTGCATTGAATATTTTAAGGTAGGCTGTGTTATTCTATTTCTCACCTTATTATAAACTTATCGTTTGTTAAATATGCAAATGAGTATAGAATAAGAGGTAAAATAGACATTGCCTTGCGTGTTCCAACTATTCTACAAAAATTTTGTTGCAAATATGTATTCACAATTTCTCTTCTCTATACTTTGTTGTTTATCAACCAACATTTAGAAGATTTGGTCCTTTTTTCATTTTTCTTTTTAGCTCCATCTAATTCCATTTTAGGAAAATTTCTTTTGTTATTTATTAGTTACTATTAAATTATTTTTTATTAGATTCTTTATTATAATATTATTTGAAAAAAATTTAAGAAAAAATTCTTCTTCTTCAACGTTGTCATATTTCAAGATCTTCTTCATTTCTTCTTCAAAACGAAATTGCTTATAATTTTGCATATTGAATTCGATCACACGAACTCATTTTAATTATTTGTTAATTTTATATAAAATCATTCCTAAATATTTTGATATAATCTCCATGATTATCTAATATTATTTTAATTACTTACACATTCTAAATGTATTCCGTTCTATAAATGTTTATATAATAAAAACTTTAAAAATTAAAATAATTAAAAGAAAAAATATTATGTATATTGCATAAAGAGAAACAAAATTTGTAGCTGTATGAATTATGTAAAAAGATTACTATTGCGAATCTCGGTATGAAGAATTCATGAATTTATCATTGATTTTATGAGAAGTTAGTGATATTGGAATAAAAATTGCTAATAATCAACGAATTATTTATGAAATAATATCTCTTTTATTTTTATGGATTATATTATTACATTATTGAAGCTACATTCAATAAAAATCGAAATTTTGAAACTGATTACAATGCTGATATTGGCAGGTATTTATATTTTATATGAGTAGTAATAAATTGAAATCAAAATAAATGTGGGATGATAAAATTTATATGAAATAAAAACTCTATATGCAACAATTAAACATATTTTATTATATATTCTTATGAAATGATAATTTCATACAAATTTATAAATTTTCAAAGCTAAAACATTTTAAAATTTCCTTGAATTGTAGACATTAAATTTA